ACAAACTAAGGAAGCACTAGTTTTAAAATAGGATTTGTTTTGAAATTAACGTCGAAATCTCAGTTTGCGATTTTCTGGAAGACTTACATGCTCCGGTCGTAATAGAACAAAAGTAACTAGCTTTATGCATGCTTTAAAAATCATGGAAATTTCTATTCAATTGCTCTAGACCTGCTTGTGGTTAGTACAGATCGAGAGAGAACATTGGAGCTCAGGGAGGCGAAGCTTTAAGCTCTCACCAATTATTTGATTTCAAGCATGACTGGTCGTTTGCTACCGTTATGAGCCAATGGTTAAAGTTCTCAATTCGGTTAAGGTTTGAATCCAGGATTGGTTTTTCTTCATTGAACTGGTTTTGCACTCTATTTTCCTTAATATGGGACTAGTAACACATAAAATGCATTTGAATTCGATTGTAAACAAATTATACAGTAGGTGAGGTCTTGAGGCACTTAACGATTACTAACATGAACTTAGGGCTTCCAGCGTTTTAATTGGAAGAACGATGCATATGGCGGGAGTCGAAGCGGAAATGTAGAGCATAGCCCTGGATTCGGGGTAAGCCCTGTCCCAGAACAACATAGCAGCCTCGTTCAAGTCGTCGAATTCGCAAACTCAGTATGAGGACTTGCTGCCTTACATTACTATGTAAGTATACGAAGCTCCATTGAATTCTACACCCATTCTCAACGAACTAAACAAATTTTTGCCTCATTTACTGGTTTCTCGGCTTTGTATAGGTTTAGCAACAGACATATTAATATTTTTGGAGGAAGAAAACTCGCAGTATGCATATTAGCAGAAAATTTTGACAAGTGATCGTAATTTTTTGAAGTGTTCTAAAACAAAATTGTGCTTTTGAAATTGAAATATTGCAAAAGGAAAAAGTGAGCATTTTTGGGCCTTACATAGATTTAATGAACGAAATAGCTCTGCTATGCCAATTATTAAATAAACCGCTTGTTACTTGATATAACCGATAAGATTGGAGCAGAGAAACACAAACCTTGCGATTTAGAAATATCCTGTCCCTTCTTAGAAAATTGATATAAAATATTATTTTTTACACTTTTTATTCCTTAATTTACGCAACTACAAGCGGAATAAAAAATAGACCTATTTTCGCCCTTATTTTGCTGACTTGAAACACTGAAGTTGATGCTCACATAACCTTGAGACCCAATTTTGCTCCCATGTTACGTAGATATGCCGCTCCTTTTCTCGCAAAGTGTGTTTAGATCTCTGAGAGCATCTAATTTGCTACGAGGAATAAATGTATTAAACAAACCATCATGGCGTACACCTAGGCGTACTCTAAGTACCCATATCGATTCTATTGTAAAAGGTCTTCCCAATGGAGCTCGGAAATCCGTGGGTTATTGGCTCCTGGGGATGGCTGGATTAACCTTTGGAGCTATTGGGATTGGTGGAGTCACTCGGTAGGCTGATTGATGCTTTTGCACTTTTAGGCTCACTGAGTCGGGTCTGTCGATGGTAGACTGGCATCCATTCAAGGAGGTACCTCCCCGTACAGAGGAATCCTGGAATAAAGAATTTGAAAAATACAAGCAATTTCCGGAGTATGAACAGTAATGAAGTTGCCCTGGTTACCACTTCTCTCCTAGTGTCGTGAAGGATCGTGGTGAAATGACTCTTTCTAGATTCAAGTTCATTTGGTATATGGAGTGGTGTCATCGGCAATGGGGTCGTCTAATTGGGGTCGCTTTTGCATTACCGGCTACCCTCTTCTGGTATAGAGGCTACTTTAACAAGGGAATGAAGATAAGGGTTGTCTGCTACGGCGTACTCATCGGATTTCAGGTAAATAGATCACTGCTACTCATTGAGCTCCACAGTTGGTGACTGCTGCTACTCTGTCTTAGGGATTACTAGGTTGGTATATGGTAAGAAGTGGTCTAGAAACTCCGCCACGTCCAGCTGGCATGGATCCTGGGGAGGAATTCGTAGGTGTGCCCCGAGTGAGCCACTACCGCCTCGCGGCTCATTTGTCAACTGCAGCAATTCTCTACTCTCTATTCCTATGGTCAGGATTCAGCCACATGTGCACGCATCCGACGGTACATTGTTTATTTGCTTCCTCAAACCTACATTCTGATTATGCATTCAATGCAGATAAAATGGTTTCCCGAAGTCATTAAGCTGAAGATATGGGGCCACTCCTCCAAGGCGATGATGTTCACGGCTCTGATATTCGGTAACAATTTTTCTCAGTAATTGTTCTTTAAATAAGATTTTTTATTGCTTTATGGCTAGGATTCTCACAGTTTTTTTTAATTACTACATTATGAGGACTGCATGGACTTGTTGATGCTAGAAACTGTCGGAGATGTTTAAGAAATTAGTCTAAGTTGAATGCTTCGAAAGCATGACCTCGAGGTAGTCAAAGTATAAGTTTTTTTGTCAGCTGACTTAAATCTTTGGATTACTATCGATCTTGATCGGGCATGCCCTTCAAGAATTGAATTTTACCTAGGGATTGGATTGTCTCATGGACATTTTGTCTCATCCCAGGATGTTTGGAGGGCTTGTATGATAAATCATTTTAATGAGTTGGTATTCGTTTGCGCGAACCCATGTAGGCGCGTTTGTAGCGGGGTTAGATGCTGGGCTAACGTACAACTCGTGGCCGAAGATGGCAGACCGTTGGGTGCCGGATGATCTGCTGGTGGCACGGTATGGATCTACCCTTCGAAACTTGGTGGAAAATCCCACGGCTGTGCAGTTTATGCATCGCAACCTCGCCTACCTCACGGTTGCATTGGTGACAGGTGCGTGGGTGATGACGTTGCGAGTTCCTGGGGGAAGAGTGGTGACCGGGCAGCAGCTGCGCAATGCGGCGCATTTCATGCTGGCTGCCACTATTGGTCAATCAGCCATTGGTATCATTACCCTCTTGCAGTATGTTCCTGTTTGGTTGGGCGCTACTCATCAGGCTGGTTCTCTCGTCCTTCTTTCCACTATACTCTGGTACACTCACTGCCTAAGAGCCATTCGCAAGTAAAATATTCGAACTCCACTTTTCATGTACAAATTTGTCAACTTTGTCCTCGATTCATTTTGAATTTTTGCGACCCATTCCCTTCTTATTGTTCAACGACGAATTTATTTAATTAACATAACGTACAGGTACTCTTCCGTGTTTAATTTCCTCACCTGTATTCTGGGAAGGCATTTCTTTCCTCTATTCAGTCTTTACTAAACTATCTCAACCGCTCTTCCAATCTCACCAGGTGCCATGTTAACCATGAGTTGTCACTCTAAGAAAATAAACTTTGATAACCACGAGATGCATCATCAGTATGTGACTGTCAACGTCCAATGTGTGCGTTAGTGATATGCTGACTGACACATATTCAGTAGGTGAAATACGATAATTTTATCATGTAAAGGCGCGTGCACAGGATGATTCGTTGACATAAATGAGCACGTATGCAAACAATTGTGCAATTGACATATTCGTACAAGGCTTTCGACGAGTATAAGCATGTGACATACGGCGACGCCACATCGGAGTTTCGTTTGTATTCAGAAGCTGAGGCATATTAATGAATCACTTCAAAAATCTCATCCAAGTTAATGTCCAGTCGCTTCACTGTATCGTCTCTACACCCAATCAAGATGGAGATTGTGTTGGGTTCAAGGCGAAGGAGAAGGGGAACTGAGAAAGTCTCAGAAGGAAGTCGGTATATGACATGGGGAATGGGCGGGGTTCTGGTGTGGCCCACGCAAACGAACAGGCATCCGTCTGTCCGAGCAAAGAACACCAGTGGGGGTCGTTGTTGCTGCTCTTGCAAGATTATGCTGGGCGTAGTGAGGAAGGCGGTGCGCGCTCCATCTGCTTGCTCCACGGTACCACAATCAGCGCTCCACATTAAGCAGCTGTCAGTGGACGCTAGGGCGTGCAAGTGCCCAGATTGGTTGGCCAAGAGTAGGAGTGGAGGACAATGAGGCAGGGGAACAGGAGGTGAGAAAAAGCCCCCTTGTGGTGTTACAGTGGCCATCCATAGCCGCTCTCCCCTAGACTCTGACATGCAGTATATCCCCCCGTCCGCTGTGGTAACAACGACGCGTCCGAGACAACTCAAAAGGGTTGGAGCACCGAATATCGGTCCCAGCTCGTTAACTGACCAATCAATGTCGCCTACGGTTTGAAGACGATTGTCATAGATGCTAAAAGATCCCTTATTTTTAAAATGTACACTTTTTGGTGATATTATTGCAAGAGAACTACTAAAATGTATCTGTAAAATCCTTAATTCAATAGTGGATGAAAGGTAAGTTAAATTAAATTATTAAACAACCGTGCGATGTACCAAGTTCGACATTGATCCTGTGGAGACAACCACCGAGAGTTCCAACAAAAGCGAATTCTGATTTCTCATCTACGATGACGGGAGCCACAATGGGCGACCGATCAAGGTTGGTCGCCCACACTCTGTGACCTCTACCCTCGACTGCGAGGACATGCTGGCCATGCGAGCCGACAAGCAGCAGGGATGAATTGGGAACCCGAGTTGGAGCCGATTTCACAGCTCCGCCCGTCTCTAGCGTCCATACCAATACACCATCAGCCACTCTCAGCGCGTACAAATGCCCATCAAGGGTACCAAATACGACTAGATCATCTATCAGGCATGCAGTGGCCTCAATACGACTTTCAATTGCGTGGGACCAAACAACCTTCCCGGTTCTGAGGCACAATTTCCTAAAAATACCTGCGTGGCTTCCGACAAATATGCTCTCCATTGCGGCGTCCACTACGGGAGAAGCGTCCACACATTTTCCCAATTCTGCACTCCACATCAACTCAGCTTTACACCCTGATCGCGCCTTTTTTCGCATATCTGTGTTGAACACAAGCGTCTCCTCACCACCCTCAATTTCTGGCAAGGCGGACTCCTGTGCTAATTGGATAAACTTTGTAAAGGGTCTACTGAAGAGAGTGCTCAGAAGTAGTGCCCTCTTGTCCTTCAAAGACGGCCAATCACTGATGAGGCTTTCAATAAGATGCATTGCTCTCAGAGAAGATCCACCAAGCTGTTGGAAGGTCTGATGATGATGAAGCTTACTCTCATCCACAGGTCCAATTGAAGAGAGGCAAGTAAGCCGTACAGATTTGTCAACCACCTTGCCGTTAGCGTTTAAAGTAAGGAGAGAATTCGATAGGATTAAGTTGCATGATGGGATTGGGAAGGCTATTCGTTGCAGCAGCCACTCTTTTATGTCATTAGTTTCCTGAGGAGAAAGGGGTTCATCCAGCTGGACATAAGCTCGAAGTGGATGAACGTCACAACGACAGTTAATCACGTGATGACTCCTGCTTACACGATTGGCTAGCAGTTCCAGTATCTCCGTCTCCAAGCTCTCCAAATGACACTTTCGTCCATGTACTTTGACTACCCTGTCCTTTCGCCCGAGAAACCACAACGGAGAATGACTAGTTGGAGATACAATTGCAAAGTCACCAGTTGCCACAAAACCTGCATCTGGCATTCGTTGCAATGCTTCGAACAATCTGACGGTTGTGAATGGCTCCTCGACGGATGCATAGCCACCTCTCGTTCGCGCAGTGTAAACTTGACCAACACCTGTCTTCTTATCGACGTCCTTGAGAACGATCTGTGAATGGGCCATCGCAACCCCAAGAGGTGTTGCACCTGCTCTTGGAGGCTCCTCCGATAGAAGTGCGTTGGCTTCGACGATACTGCTCCAGGCAGAAACTTCGGTTAATCCGTAAAGGAAGAAGAATTTCCAGTTATTTGTCCACTTTGGTAGTCGTGCTGGCGAGCAGGGTTCACCACCGAGGAAAATCCACATGTCTTTGAGTCGCGCTGGTGATGACGGCACACGACTGAAAATACTAGGAGTGCACTGCCAGGTGTCTACGTTGGCAGATGAAATCACCTGCGCCAAGAATTTACCCTCCATGTTGAAAGTAAGAGAGGTGGAAATAAGAACGACGCGCCGGCGAGTGGCTAGTCCAAGGTAGAGTTGAATGATGCATGCATCGAAGGTGAGCGGTGCAGTGACAAAGACCCCTGATGTGTCTACTGTAGGCGGGAGATGAGTGCAGAGGTCAACGACATTGGCTGATGCGCATGAGTGACTTATTAGAACGAGCTTCGGTGATCCAGTAGATCCCGACGTCGTAATGCAGTAGGCAAGATCAATAAGAGGAAGACGAAAAATTTCACCACTTCGGGTGAAAATTTTGAAAGGAGAGGTTTGGATGCATTTGAAATTCTCATCCGAAATATCCGACTCGGTTGAGAGGCAGATCACAGCACCGAACAGCTCAAGCATTTGAGACAAACAATTAAGGTCAGAAAGAGGCATAAAGGCTGAAGAGGAGAGGAGGACGCCATGAACTGCCACGACAGTATAGACACTGGGAGACCACAAAATACCCACCAGTGTTGGAGCTAGAGGACGTAGGTGCTCAGCCAACTGCATTGAAAGGTGGAAGAAGTCCGAAAAGACTAAATCACCCTCTCGTTGAACGGAGAAGAATTCTGAATCGCTTGCCCACATCTCAGCCACCACATCTTCGGGACGCCAATGAGGGGACATGAGAGAATGAAGACTGCATGGCCAATCGTGATGCATATCTACAATTGTTAATTGACTGAAACAAAATAAACATACAGAACCTACTAACTACAATCAAAACTAAGAACGAGAATCAGCCCCAAGGACCAGCCAGTTTGCGTTTCCTCGTATTCTGAATTCCAAATCCTCATAAAGTTCTGAGACCCTTGACCCATTCACAGCATGCATGATATTTAAAGGAATGGAGTTTAAGGAGAAACGTGAGCCTGGCATCAAGAGATCAAAAATAATTCCCATCCGAATATGCATCTTTTATTGAGATAACTTCAATGCGGAACAAAAATCCCAAAAGACAAGTCGAGTAGGTCGACAGATTGGTGTTGAAGCTCAAACTGGCAAAGATTTGCTAACAACGAGACCTCCTACTACTTCCTCATGGAAGTGTGATAGGCGGTGGAACAAAGAATCAATCTAGAGGGTTTCTAAGGAGTCAGCATACTCGCAGATGACTTGCTCGCTTTCATGTGAGATTAAGGACTCTGGACGCATTTTATAGAGACGTCTAATAGCTTCTTTGCCACTGACTTTGTCATGGTA